TTAAAATAAACAAAGAAACAAAAAAGGCAGGGAGGTAATCACTACTTTTAAAAGACACACCATGGACTACTACATGGCAATGAGAAAGAATGAAATATGGCCTTTTGTAGCAACGTGGATGGAACTGGAGAGTGTTATGCTAAGTGAAATAAGCCATACAGAGAAAGACAGATACCATATGTTTTCACTCTTATGTGGATCCTGAGAAACTTAACAGAAGTTCATGGGGGAGGGGAAGAAAAAAAAAAGAGATTAGAGAGGGAAGGAGCCAAAGCATAAGAGACTCTTAAAAACTGATAACAAACTGAGGGTTGATGGGGGGTGGGAGGGAGGGGTGGGTCGGTGATGGGTATTGAGGAGGGCACTTTTTGGGATGAGCACTGGGTGTTGTATGGAAACCAATTTGACAATAAATTTCATATTTATAAAAAAAAAACAAAACAAATAACAGATCAAAGTTTAATTGCTTGTTTGAAATGTACCAGTAGAACTGGTAGTATATTTCACACCAATAAAATAACATAACAATAAATTGAAAAAAAAATAAAAAATACACCAGCTCTTTGGGTTCAAAAAAAAAGAGAGAGAGAGAAAGCATTTTGTAGATGCCAGCATGCTAACTGAAAGAAATTAGACGGAGAGGTTAAAAGAAATTAAATCAGATCTGGTCCTTCCCTCCCCTCTCCTCTCCTCAACTATCCAGCATTTAGGCCAGCCCCATCTTCCCCCTTCTAAAATAAAATGAAACCACAACCACATCCACATGCAACTGTTTTTGGCTGTTTATGTATAAGCTTGCTGATTATGGACAAGAGGGCTGAAAATACGTTCAGGAAGATAGCAGAGAAGAACAGAATTAGGATGTGTTCTTTAAAGTAGCAAAAAAGATGGCTCGAACCAACAATTTACTTGTTACTTTAAGTATAGACAAGAGGAAATGAAATAGAATAAATAGATTTTTAAAGCTATCTCACAAGCTGATTAGTGGAAATAAAGGTTAAGGTCAGCTGTCCGTGTGAGCTAACTCATTTTATCTCAATGTCCCTGTCCTCTTCATTGCTCTGGGGGTGGGGAAAAAAAGGGCACTGTCTTACAGAGACAGCACATCAGAAAAAGCTGTTGCCAAGGTATTTTTTTACTCACTTGTTTCCTGGAGGAGCCTAGTAGGCTCATGACACGTATGTATGATAGAAAAGCTTAGATGATTGGAAAATAGATTTCTCTACATAATCACAGGATATACACAGAAATAAGTTCCTAAACAAAATATCAAAATCAAAAACCAATTTTTATTTTTTTTAAAGATTTTTTTTTTCAACGTTTATTTATTTTTGGGACAGAGAGAGACAGAGCATGAACGGGGGAGGGGCAGAGAGAGAGGGAGACACAGAATCTGAAACAGGCTCCAGGCTCTGAGCCATCAGCCCAGAGCCTGACGCGGGGCTCAAACTCACGGACCGCGAGATCGTGACCTGGCTGAAGTCGGACGCTTAACCGACTGCGCCACCCAGGCGCCCCCAAAAACCAATTTTTAAAAGTTGGAAGAGATCTGGAACTAAATATTGGTTCTAAAAGCCAGTATGCTTATTACAATAATAGTTACAGAAGTGGCAGTGGCAGCCTTCCCACCTGCCAAGTGCTTCCTCAGTGCCAGGGACAATAGCTCTTTATTAATTTCTTATTGAATCATTACTACAACTCTTTGAGTTTGATGATAGTGCATAATCACATACTATTCAGGTTTACCTATTTCATCATATTTGTCCTTAAATCGAAGTGTCAAAAAGAAAAAGAAAAAAACAAACTTAGAAAATAACTTAAAAACTGAAACAAAATATTACTTTGAAAAACATTCTGATTTTTTTGTTTTAACTTTGCCTTAAACACACACACGATTTTCATGGCCACTACAAATAAGCAGAATTTAGTAGGTATTACAATTCTAGTCAGTTTCCTAAAATAGCTCTTTGAGGTTAAAGCAATTTTCTCTGTATTTAAATGGCTTAGCCTAGAGTCATTATTCTCCAATGATACTAATCACTTTAATTCTGATTAAAGGGACATGCAGGGCCTTTCCAGATAAACTGTCAAGTCAGCCACAACCTCAATCTCCTGGGAAAGCCTCTGAGAAACTCCTATATCCTGTTTGTGGCTCTAGGGATATCCCTTCTTATTTACAGTGTACCTAATAGAAATTTATCAAAGCAACTTTTAAGATAAAATCAAATTTAAAGAAAAGTATCTTTAAAATTTATTCAAGAATAAATATTTTTTTTTTTTTTTTAATTTTTTTTTTCAACGTTTATTTATTTTTGGGACAGAGAGAGACAGAGCATGAACGGGGGAGGGGCAGAGAGAGAGGGAGACACAGAATCGGAAACAGGCTCCAGGCTCTGAGCCATCAGCCCAGAGCCCGACGCGGGGCTCGAACTCACGGACCGCGAGATCGTGACCTGGCTGAAGTCGGACGCTTAACCGACTGCGCCACCCAGGCGCCCCCAAGAATAAATATTTAAAGCAAATAATATCATTAGGAAAATAAAGAAATCTAATTACTTTTTAAAAATTCTGATTTTTAAAACTTCTCTTCTTGCTCTCTTTTGACAAATACTGGGTGCTGTGTTAAAATATTAAATTTATCAGGGGCAGTTGGGTGGCTCAGTCAGTTAAACGTCCAACTCTTGATCACATGGTCATGGGATGGAGCCCCGAGTTAGTCTCTGTGTCGCCAGCATGGAGCCTGCTTGGGATTCTCTCTCTCCTCCTCTTTCTCTGCCCCTCCCCCACTTACGCACATGTGTGCTCTCACATCTAAAAACAAATAAATAAACATTTAAAAAAATATATTAAATTTATCAGAGAAATCTTTGGCAATGTTTTTGTAACTAGTGTAACAATTCCCCACTTTCTCCTCACATTCTTTTCCCTTTAAGTTTATTTATTTTGAGAGACAGAGAGGAAGGGGCAGAGAGAGAGAGGGAGAGAGAGAATCCTAAGCAGGCCCCTTGCTGTCACCACAGAGCCCTACGCAGGGCTCATTCTTATGAAATGTGAGATCATGACCTCAGCTGAAATCAGAGTCAGCCACTAAACTGACTGTGCCACCCAGGCACCTCTCTCTTCACATTCTTGTATGAATACCATTTAACTTATAATATGTGATTTCAAAAAAAAAAGCCACCAATTTACTCCTGGGCTTTCTATAAATCCATTTTTTTTAAGTTTTAGTATCTACAGTGTCTCTTGATTATGAAAAAAATTATAGTAAGTCAAAAACGCTTAATAAAATCTTTTTAGTGGTTATGATTTTTGCACTTAATCTCATTATTTTTTTAATGTTTTTATTTTATTTTTGAGAGAGAGAGAGAGAGAGAGAGAGAGACAGAGTGTGAGTGGGGGAGGGGCAGAAAGAGAGGGAGACACAGAATCCAAAGCAGGCTCCAGGCTGTCAGCACACAGCCTGACGCGGGACTTGAACCCACAAACCGTGAGATCATGACCTAAGCCGAAGTTGGACGCTCAACCGACTGAGCCATCCAGGTGCCCTAATGTGATTATTTTTTAAAGGCACTGACTCAAAAAAATTAAAGGAACTTTTGATCTCTAGCTGAAGGAAAAAAAAATCACACTTTTTAACTGTGAAGAAAATAATCTTTTGAGGTTTGCAGGGTGGGGTACATAAAGATAACCTACCAATAAACTCAGCATAATATCAAATAATAAATTGCTGATCATAACTAAAATAATATGAATTTGATTAAAAAATAACAAAGTTACGTTTCATTTTTACACTCTGGTTGTGTTTCTATTAAGTTTTACTTAAGCCATATTTTGGAAAAAAGAATACTGTAAATGCTCAAAAGCTATGAAGAACCCAATTTTAAGTTTATTTGTAAAAGAGAGTTAACACCAAAGTTATTTGTTTGCAGATTTGAATTTATTGGAGTTGTTTAAAATGCCATTTATATTCTTAAAGAATAAAGCACCCTAAGCAGTCTTATGTTAAAATTGTAAGTGTTGTTAATACAAATCTGATCTAGAATAGAAAGTAAAAGAAGGAGAAAAATGTATTAACTCAGTTCTCAGAGAATGATACATTTTAGTAGCTGTCCATTAATAGCTCCAACAGGCAAGACACAAAACTTGAACTATTTTTTATATATTAATACTTGAGACTATGACCCAATTCTTATAATGGGTTTTTAAAATTTAATTAATCCATATTGCTTAAGATACACTTTTTGGTAAATACTCTTACAATGAAATTAGTGGAAACATTAGTTTGAGTGTAGTAATTAAAAGCAGGGTTCAAATACAAGCTCTGTCACTTAATAGAGCTGTGTGATCGCAGAGAAATTGCTTAATCTTTCTATGCCCCAATTTCATCATCTATTGAAAGGGAAAAATAGTACCCACTTGATAAGGCTGGTGTGCTGATTAAAAGAAGTTAATCTTTATAAAGCACTTAGCATAATGTCACATATAGTATTCAATAACTTAAAAAAATTTTTTTTAATGTTTATTTTTTTTGAGAGAGAGAGAGAGAGAGAGAGAGAGAGAGAGAGACAGAGCGTGAACAAGGAAGGGGCAGAGGTAGGAGGGAGACACAGAATCTGAAGCAGGCTCCAGGCTCCAAGCTGTCAACACAGAGCCCGACATGGGGCTTGAACTCATGAACTGTGAGATCATGAGCTGAGCTGAGACGGGCACTTAACCGACTGAGCCACACAGGTGCCCCATTATTCAATAACTATTGAACTGTGCTATTATTACTGTTGTTTTGGGTTTTATTGTTGAATGCAACAAATGCCAAACTGTCTCCAAAGGGGACAGAATGAAAATTTGTCATCAGGGCATGGTAGTGATTTCTGACTTACCGGTTACTTGATTCACTAGAATATTTTCACTTTCCTGTGCTCATAACAACTAAAATTAGAAGCATAAAAACATCGAGAATTGATGATGTCCTTTACTGAGATATCAACACAGAAGTTACCTACCTGTGCAGCTCTTCTGTTTTGTCTTCAGTTGGACCTACGATTAGTAAACAATGGCGAAGGACAGCTGCCATGACACGGAACTGATGAGAATCACTCTACAGCAAATAAAAAAGACAAGAGGAAAAATTGGGGATTGAATGTTTTAGTGAAGGAGTCTGGTGTATTCCTGCATCCCTGGGAGCCATCTTATGGACCATTTGTCCCCCTAAACAGTCATTCTTATATCATAAATAATAGAAGTCAGGACACTGTAGACAAAATTCTCAATACTAAGTTAATAGTTACTGTCTTACATGAACAGCCACCTCCAGAAGTGGCTGAAAACCAGAAGATGCTGACCTAGCCACTCCCTTTATGGCATGTCAGGCAAAGAGAGACAAGATCAACAGCCATGCAATTCCTACTCTCTTTTACCTTAAGACTCAATTCACCTGAGGATCTTTTCCATTTTCAGAAAGTCTATAGATTCTTTTGATAGTATACTGTTAGAGTTTACTAGTGGTTATAAAAGTTCAAACAGATGTAATGCTATCAGATATTTTAACAGTGGGCTGTACATACTTAACTGCCTAATTTCTTATTTCAAAAGCAATAAATTAAAAGGTAAAATCTGTCAACTTCATTAATGAGTCTTCTTAATCTCCTAGTTCCCCCAAATCTTGCTAGTTCCCCCAGAATTACCAGTAAGTGATGAAAAACAAGTGATCTGAGTTTAATCTCCTATTTTTCCAATGTTTACTCATTGTTATTAAAGACACAGAGAGAGTCAGAGGGAAGAAGGCAAGCAGTAGGAAATAAGCTAAGTTTTGAATAATCCCTTAGTTTACCTCCTCTTCTTTTAGAGATTTTGGGCCTCTTCTTGAGATTTGGGGCCATTATAATTTCTTTAATTACCTGCATCAAGGTCATATCTCTCTGCTTCCAGATTTTTAGTAACTAAGAAGACATGTAAAATAAATGATAATTATAATAGAGATCCTGCATATGCTATACTTCAGGAAGTCTCCGATTACTTCAAAAACTATTTAAAAATTTAAAAACTTTATTAAAAATGTTTTAAATCTAAAAACTTCAGTTTTACATATAATCTCAAGTCTATATAAAGTGAAATATACTTAAATATTATACATATATTCATATATATAACTCAGCCCTCTGAGATGATGTCTCCTATAAGATCTAACAAACAATAGAGCACAACTGCATTACTCATAATGCAGATGACAGTATTTTAAGCCAAACACCATCATATGTTCATTTGGAAGAGATGAAGGCCTCAGTAGCATAATGGTAAAAAAGCACTTCACTTGGAGTCTGGAGTCTAGGCTGTGACCTTAGACAAGTCATACAGATTCTCTGAGCCAAAGTTTCCCCACACATATCTCCACAAATATGAGACTGGTAGGGTTATAAAAGGATTAAAGAGGATGATACACATGGAAGTGCTTAGTACTTGGAATGAAACATTTGAAGGTGACTGGAAAGGATGAGGGAAGAAGGAAACAAAAGGTAAGTAAGACTGATAGAGCTGAAATGAGTGATAGTAAAATAATCATGTGTTGGGGAAGGAATAGAGAAAAGGGGAGGGGGGTCGGTAGAATGTCAGAGACACCAGGACTGGTAGGGTTGAAACGAACGCTGTCCCATTCACTGTCCATTTTCAAATGCCTGGATCAAAATTCTCTAATATGTAAATATGCTTTTGCTTACCCCAAATTACATGAAGCACAGGAAACACATGTAAAATTCTTCCATTTCTTAATTCTTAATAAGATCATATTTTCCTCGGTTTTGAAAATTAACTAGGAATGCACTTCCTTTCAAAGAAGATTTTCCTTTATTCTAGATATCACAATCATTTCTTCTCATGCTGATGTTGACAAGCCTCTTGCAAAACTATCCATTGTGGTCTTTCTATTTGCAACTGTAAACCAAAATCCTACTTCTTTCCATCCCATTTCCTCCTGTCCCAACTTTTATAACGCCAATTCCCAAGTTGTACCTATATCCTCAATGTCCTCTTTTACTATAAATCCACTAAATTCCCTTTCTCTACTCAAAACAACTGTCAAATCCCTGGATTGTTGTTTCCAATCTCAGCATCACTGATTCCTTTTCATATTCCAGATCTCAGCTAAAATATTTCATTAGAAAAGACCATTAGAAAGACCATTTCATTAGAAAAGACCTACTTAGACCATATCTAAGTAGGTTTCTTCTTTCATTATTTTCTATCGCTGTATCTTGTTATGATTCCTTTCATAAAATCATTAATTTGTAATGCCACATTTTTTTACATACTGGCACTATCCATTGTTTTCTCCAGTACTCTATTACCTTTACAAGTTTAGAGTGCATGTGCTTAGTAGATGTTCAATAATTTTTAATGTAAATGGTAAGTAAAACAAAAAAAAAGTCCCAGTCATAAGTGGGCAGCCAGATAAATTTTCATAAAATGAGCACATCCATATAACCAGCACAAAAATGATCCAACACTAAGATTAAGAACTCCAGAATTGGCCTCTTCAAATGACAATCTCCTGATCCTCAAGGGTAATCTGAATGTCTAACATTGCGGGTTAGTGATTTTTTGTTTTCACTGAATTTTACTTAAATGATATCATAAAATATAGACCCTTTGTGTATGGTTGTGAGATTCTTTCAGGTTGTCATGTGTATTTAGGTGCAGTGTGTTCATTTTCATCACTTGAGAGCAGTAATATTTGAGATGTAGTCTGTGGATCACTGCTGGTCCGCACCCTGTTTGCCACTGATCTGCAGTGTCATGAGTGCAGAAGGTGTGAGCATTTAGGAACTTTTCCAGTTTGACATTGTGTGTAATATTGCACTATACAAGAATTTCATTCTGAAAGCAAGGGCAAAAAATCTGATCCTTCACCAATTTGGTTAAGAAAGCACTGCTAAATACAATGAATATATCACAATTTACTTATCCATCCTACTCTTGATGGGCACTTGGATTGTTTCCAGTTTGGGACTACATTGAAGAGTACTGCTGTGAATGTACTTTCTTACATTTCATTTGCTGCATCACAGGTCATATACATATGTCAAACTTCAGAATATACTGCCAAATAGTGTTTCAAAGTGTTTATACCAATTTATACTCTCACTAGTTGTTCTACAGTTGTGTCAACACTTGGTATTGTCAGTCTTTTAAAATTCAGTCATTCTTGTGGGTGTGCAGTGGTCTCATAGTTTTATTATGCATTGCCCTGATAACTAAGGAGTTTTCATGTAACTACTGGTCATTTGGATAGCTCTTTTGTGAAGTGCCTGTTCAAGCCTTTTGACTATTTTCCTACTGGGTTGACTGACTTTATTTGTATGGATTTTAATGTATTTGGGATACAATCCTTTATTTATAGATGTGTTGCAAATATCTTCTCCCATTTGGTGGCCTGCTTTTTTTACTTTCTTCTCTTGATGAGTTCATTTTAATGAAGACCAATTTGTCAACTTTTGCTTTAAGATTTGGTTTTTATTTTGTCCTATTTTAGAAATCTTTGCTACTTAAGAAATGTTTGACTTGTTTAGGATAAAGTCATGAATATAATCTGTTTTCTTCTAAAAGCTTTATTATTTTACCTTTTTTAATATTAAGGTCCTTATCCATCTCAAATTAATGTTCTATGTATGGTATAAGGTAGGGACTTAAATTTGTTTTTCCGGATGCCTGGGTGGCACAGTCGGTTAAGCGTCCGACTTCAGCTCATGTCATAATCTCACAGTCTGTGAGTTCAAGCCCCGCATTAGGCTCTGTGCTGACAGCGCAGAGTCTGGAGCCTGCTTCAGATTCTGTCTCCCTCTCTCTCTGCCCCTCCCCCACTCATGCTCTGTCTCTCTCAAAAATAAACATTAAAAATAAAATAAAATAAATTCGTTTTTCTTCCATACAGCCTTTCAATTGATCCAGGGCAACTTATTAAAAAGCCCACTTTTCCCCCACTGCACTTCAGTGTTACCTGTATCATAAACCAGTTGACTGTATATGTGTAGGTTTATTTCGAGACTCTTTATTCTATTCCATTAGTCTATGTCTCAATAAATATTGGTTAAATGAGTGTTATCATTAAGAAGTCTTATTTAACAAAGGTTAGAATGGATACTATACTATTAGTCTGCTATGTGACTTTCCGTAAGTAATTTAAACACTCTGATCTTTCGTGTCTCCATGTGTTAAATGTAGTTAATGCTGCTGTATCACAAGGATGCTGGAAAGGTTAAATATAACTGTTCTTTATAAAACATTATACAAATACAGTTTATATAACTATAATTTACTTGCTTCATCTTAATTTTGGTATCTTTAAGACATCAATATTCTCTCCTCTGAAATCATATTATCTCCAAAGATTGAGAAGAAAAAAGTCACCAAGGACAAAGGGAGGAGGAAGAGAGAGAAAGCAAATAGGCTTGTTGTGATAGTGGACATCAAAGTGAGATAACAACACTCAATTAAAAGGTAGATAAAAACTCAGAAAATTCTTTGGGATCTCTATACAGGCTTCACTTCTTAATTAAAGATTCTACTACGGTCCTGTTGCTTTTTCGTTCTGTGCAAACTGTGGAAGATCTCACTTTTATTTGTTAAAGGTGTCAGTTTCCTCACATCTTTTCATTCAAAGTGTCAACTGATGTAAACAATGCCTGAGAAAGTCTGAAGGGAGAATACTGCTCACCAACCAGTCCTGATCTGGTATTGTTACCCCAGGATAGTTCTAATTTCTTCAAGAAGGTTTAGGAAACGTGTCCTGTGAAAATTTAATTTCAATCCTATAAAAAGTGAAACAGACACTCAGACACAGACACACACATACACACATGCACACATACAAATGTATGCATGCTTACCTAGAAATATAGCTGTATCTCAGGTAGCATTTTACCCTATGTTTTACCCTATTCCTTTTGCTTACCTCTACCATGGTTATTTGTCCTACTAAACTGTGTATATTTAAAAATCTCTATCTCTTTACAGGTAAAGATTATGTATTTTACCTCTGCATCTTTTGCATCTAACATGGTGACGGGCATAAAATAATCAATGCTTTTTTGAATTAATTTGCAAGGG